TAAATATTATTATGTAATATATTATACATTTTATTAAAATATGTTGTATTTAGGTATATGGACATCATAGAAGTATTCAAACCCACTATGTATGTTACCCTAAGCATTTCAGACATTAATTTGGATAGTTCACATTCAGCTATTGAAAAGTCAGTTAATATTTCAAATAGACTTTTTAAGAGTTGTTTGGAACGGCATCACCAATCAGAAGTGAGTACTTAATTATTTATAAAAATTAATATTCTTAAGGAAACTTGATTTTCTAATATTGCATGTACAATTCATGAATATAAATAACAATAACTAGGGTGACTGGGTTCTGTTCTCCTTGAAGTTGCATGTATGTTTTTGAAATTGTGATATTAAATAGTAATTGCATATTTTATTATATGTACTAAAAAGGAGTATTTCACAAAATTTAAATAATATTAAATAATATATATTTTAAAATATTTTAATAAAATATTTTAAATGTTTTTGAGAGTATACTAAATTACTAAGCCAAAATACTACTGTATAGTGCTGTATGTACACATAATAATTTTGTAAACATATCTTGAGAGTATACAGCTTATATGAAGTATACCCAATGGGAACATCTCTATATACAATGGATGGAGCTATGAATATAGCTCAATATTTTGATGTAGATATAGCGATGAATTACCTGGAAGGTAGCCTCTACACTTCCCAATACATGTAGTCTTATATCATATTATACTATAATTAATAATAACATTTTACTAAAACAAAATTTTAATTGTTTTGGTACTAAGCTGAAAATTGTATAAAGGTTAAGAATAGATGTTTGCTATTTATATTTTCTTTCATTTCAATAGAAATTTTTGATTTGTTTTGGTTTGATATCATGGACGTAAATAGGAAAGKRGCTTAAGAGAGCTTTGCCCACCTCAAATCTTCTTGAGTCCTGAATGTAAAATAATTTTAATACTACACATTTTAATATATAGCCATATAGGTATCATTATTATAATGAATATGAATAATAATATTTTTCCTTAATGCCTTTATAATAAACAGTAGTTTTAGTTCAAACTCAAATATAATTCCATAAACTCACTTATTTCCGCTACAGCATTGCCAGATGCAACATTGTGMATACAATATCACATCTAGCCACAAATTACAACTGATTACTTACTCCTACATCAGCCATTGTGATAAAATTAATTGCATTTATTTATAATGATGTATGTATCCTAGGATACCTATGTGTAATACATGTATAGTATTATGCATTAATATTTACTATTTGATTATTTCATAAAAAAATACTATATTTTCATTAAATAATTTTGTATTATGTGTTTGTCAAAAAAAAATACTAAAACCTGTATAAAATAGGCACCTATACTTTGTTTGCACTTCGGCTCAACCAATTTGGTTCTTCCCTGCATACCCACGTATTACCAAACTATAGAGGAACTGGTTTCGATAGCGGGGATAGGGGCACAGAATCAGTATGTTTTCTTGCTGAACAGTGTATAGACATATGCTTTTGATGGTTTCAGGACAATGTTGTACACTGTTTCATTTTTTTTTTATTAGGAAGGGACCCACTGAAACATAGGCCATTGAGTGTGTGGTGGTACAGTAGGGGTTATTTTTGTTAACTTTATTTGTAGGTTTGTGTATGTGTGGTAAAGATATGTTTCTAAAAATCCCGGGTGGTCACACATCCGGGTGCTAGCAACTAAAGTCGATACGTACACTCGTGTGTTTCCGCACATTGAGTGTATGACCACACCTCATCAAGCCACATTCATAGCATTGTTATGTGCATTATCATACTCTATCATTTGTAACTAAACCATATTAGTTTCCATTGTTTCTAACCTTTATTCTTTTTATTTTGTCAAACCTAATTAAAAGATAATTAAAACAAAAATTAATCATTCTTCTGTTAAAGTGATTTATTATAGAAAGATGCATTGAAATATACTAATCAGAATAAAATAATTTGATTTTAAGAAAATACATTTTTAATCATTTTGATGAAAAAAAAAAATAATGTATGTASTTATTGTATTTCTTAGAAAAATAATTACAAAGCAATATTGTTTTATGACCTATTACAAAATGTTTATTTTCTTTCTTTTTATTCAATGAGATAATAATACAAAACATATTGGTAATATGTTATTAGTTTATTACTATGAAATTGTAATTTGTTTACTTATAAATATTTTACTCGGTATAGTAACTTAACAGTTGAAACAGTTATCTATAATAAAGCTAACTAGTTATTTAATAATACTTTTTTAACTCTTATTATAATTTGCTAAAACTATTCTAAAATTTTGTACTTTATACAGAATGTTTCCTATAATATATGGATATTATATTACTATTATTTCGCCAAAATTATCTCAATTTGGACTGTTTGTATTACAATCATWACACTGACTGCGGTAGTTTGTTGTTGAGTTAGAATATCAGAATTCAAGGTCTCATAATCAATTAATCTTATCTAAAAACCTTAAAAATAATCAAATAAAAAATAGCATTGACCATATTATGTAAACATATTGATTCAGATACTTTCTCTTTACATGAATTGTCTTTTTAGAAATCATAATTATAAAATCGTYTATCATTTTTTATTGCCTGGGAAATATATATTTTGATTAWAGAATTTTAAAAGATAATTTTTTTTTTATATAACTAAATGTATTAGTTACTTTTCGTATTTTACTCAATTTAAAAATATGTTTATCCTAACTATAGTTTTTTTTTTGTATAATATGTATGCTTGTAAATATTTTGAATGTTATCTATTTATTCTCAAATTCTGATTTTTAAAATATTTAAGTTACTGAATATTTAGATACTAAGATTTTTTTATACCATCTAAAGAGTATCTTAAGGTTATATTAACTTAATTTTTTCAAATGAGAACCATCTATATTTATTGTGAAGTTTTAGGCAGAATATATTTTTGAACATGTTAATGTGTTCAAATCAAAATATTTAGATGAGTATTTTCTGAGTAATTTAAATGTACAAATTACAAAATTTATAGTTCAGTTACCTAATACAAAAATAACCTTAACGATTATTATAATATGTTAATATTTCATAGTGCAAATCATCTTAGTCCATTTGAAATAACACAGTTCACTATTTAAGTGGTATACATTGGCGCAACTAGGGGGAGGGGTGCTTTGGGTCCTTAGCACCCTAAGAAATTGTTTAAAAAGTTAGGTCCCATTAAGTAACAAAAAAAACCTTAAGCTTGAGCACCCTCTTGTTCAAATGCTTAGTTGCGCCAATAGTAGTATGATAAAATTTAATTGTTTAAAAAAATATGGTGTAAGTATAGTTACTTGAAAAAAATCAGGATTTTAATAAATTCTTCATCAAGAAAATATTGAAGTGAACACTGAACGTGCTTAGTGAATAGCTTGTATATGGAAAAATAGGATAACAACTTTATTCAAAAATTGTATATCGTATTATCCTAATGTTTGTTTTTAGGTACTTAAACAAAGTTGTGTGATTGCTCCAATCCAAGGTGGTTATAATGTTCAAGAAAGAATTCGATCAGCAACATTTCTATCAGAATATCATAAGGATTTATTAGGATTTCTATTTGATGGATTTTTCACTGATGGAACCATTGTWGAAGAAATTCCTAGTGACCTTATTCTACCCATTATTGATAAAACAATGGTACTTTTAACAAAAAATACTTCTTTATTTTCATAACTAAATTTCATATACAGTGTGTTCACGCTAAGAGGTACCTTAAGCCGGGTCCACACGATGATAGTTACTCTCGCAAGAGTCGCTATCGTGATAGTAGCTCTCAACTATCGCGCATGTATGATAGTGCGAGAGTTGCTCTCACAATAGGTCGATAGTTACTACTGACAGGTTCACACGTCGATAGTATTCGATAGCACTATCACGATTGCGATTCTTGCGAGAGTAACTATCATCGTGTGGACCCAGCTTTAATCCTATTAATCCTATAGATACCTAAATATTTCAGTTCGATTACCTTGTATTGAAATGGGGTTTTTGCTAAATGGCAGATTGTACTTAAATACACATTTTTAGATAAATTTCAAATTTTTAACACTTTCAATATGCGCCGCATGCACGTTACAACTTACTTTTTTTTAAATGGTAACACCAACTTTTTTACATATTCGGTAGAGTATTATTATCTAAACAATTTTTGTATAAACATTTGTTTTCTAATTTCAAAATTGGCTATGTAAATTAACGATGAAATTTAATATTTATGAGTAATTTGTTTTTGATGAAATTTGAACAAATYCAACTTATTGTCACTTATTAGTATCTAATATTGTTAAATAGCTATTTGTACATCACAGATAAGATAGTAAAAATAACTTTGACGCATTTGCCAATAATTAAGAAAATAAAATATCCTGTTCATTATACATTTATTTTATAAATTATTTTCACTGACTTGTAATAATTGTTTTAATAATTTCAAATTGCTCATGAATATTAAATTTCATCGTTAAATTACATATGCCAATTTTGAAATTAGAAATAAATGTTTGTATAAAAATTGTTTAGACAAAATGACTCTATCCGAATATGTAAAAAAAAAGTTTGTGTTACCATTTAAAAAAAGTAAGTTGTATCGCGCATGCGCATATTGAAAGTGTTAAATATTTGAAATTTATCTAAATATGTGTATTTAAGTACAATCTGCCATTCAGCAAAAACTCCATTTTAATACAAGGTAATCTAATTGAAATATTTAGTGGTACCTCTTAGCGTGAACACGCTGTATACTTGTATAATTACGAATATTTTATTTAACAAAGGAATACCTTCCATATGATAAAATGAAAATTATATTTGGTACCTGGACTCCTAATTTAATAATTGATCTTATAAACAGTGGAGTGGACATGTTTGACTCATCTTTCCCATACATCACAACTGAACGCAATTCGGCCTTAATATTTAATTACAATTTAAAATATAAGTGAGATTCAGTTTGATTTTAATCATGTTTATTCATTTTAATGAATATATTCAAATATGTATTGCTTTTACTTCCAGAAATGAAAGTATTGTTATGGATATTTCAAATTGTGAAACTGATAAAAATGTAGACAATTTGAATGACTATGAAATATGCTTAACAGATACAAGGTAATGTACTATTTTTTTAAAAACTTTTTAGTAAAATAATATGACATAAAACTTATCTATTTGTGTGATTTGGAATGAAATAAATTTAGCCATTTTGAGAAATTTATACCAATAAAAGATTCATGTAAGTGTTTGACGTGTAAGAAACATACTAGATCTTACATTCATCATCTACTGGTCTCAAATGAACTTCTAGGTTCTATGTTATTGATGATGTAAGTATATTGAAAAAACATCAACCTAAATATGAATTACAAAAAAATTAATTATTTGTTTTTTTCAGACACAATCTGCATTACTTTAATCAATTTTTTAARGACATTCGTGAAGTATTAGTAAATGCAAATTCTAATTGACTGTTATAATTATGTCTGCGTTAACTGTTTATTCATTAATAAACTGAGGAGATACTTATTCAATTGTATGTTTTTATGCATTAACTACT